GACATAGCTCAGTAAAAGCCAATGAAGAAACAAATAATATAACTTTAAAACATTCAGGATCTAGACCAGGAGTAGTGGTGCACACCTGTAATCCCACTGCTCTGTGAGGCTGAGGCAGGAGGATTGTAATTTGAGTGCAGCCTGGGCAATTTAGCTACTCTGTGAGACTCTGACTCAAAAACAAAGGAGGGGTGGCTGGGGACATAGCTCAGTGAGAAGGCCCTAGGTTTAACCCTCAGTCACATGCACACATGTGCACCCACATGCATGTGCATGCACACACACCAAGAATTAAATTCTCTGTACAGAAAACCAAGCTAAGAATGCATTCTCAAAGGCATAGGATGCAATAGTAATACCAGAATATTATTATTATTATTTTTAGTACGGGGGATCGAACTCAGATCCTTGCACTTATGAGGCAGGTGACGGAACCACTGAGCTAAATCCCCGGCCCCCAGAATATTATTAATAGAGTGCAAAAGTTAGGAGGAAGGACTGAAAAAAAGTGAGCTGCAAGACAATTAAGTGGAGCAGGGCATGGTGGCGCACAGGTATAATCCCAGCCCTGTGTTCCAAGGCAGAAGAGTCCCAAGTTCGAGCCCAGCCTGGGCAGTTTTGCAATTTAGTGAGACCTTGTCTCAAAATATAAAGGGCTGGGGATGTAGCTCAGAATAAAGGTCCTGAATTCAATCACCAGCACCAAAACAAGGAAGAAAGAAGAAGAGAGGGGAGGGGGAAGGGAAGAAGGAGGGGGAAAGAAAAGGAGGGGGAAAGAGGATTGGAGGGGGATTAAGTGGATTTACGAAGCCCCATGTAACAAGATTAAACAATGCTAGAGGGAAAATGTTTTTCCATGAAGCTTTGAAACATTAGTTCAGAATATTCTGAGAGTACCCTGGTGACCTTATTAGACATCTTAATGTAGATCTAAAAAAAATCACATCTGATTTTTTTGACTTTAATAATTATTAATTGATAATTGAATACCTTATCTAATTTAAAAATCTATTTTTGATGCTTTGATTTTTTTTTTTTTTTTTTTTTTTTTTTTATGCTATGTAGTTCAGGCTGGTCTTGAACTCATTGTTCAGCCCAGCTGGCCTCCAACTTGTGGAGACCCTCCTGCCTCAGCTTCCCCTGTGCTAGGCGTGGATCACCACACCTGGCCTAAATTTTTAAAAAGAGTTATCAGCTAAATTTTTTTGCAAGATCAGAACCAAAGTTTTATAAATAATAAACATATATACTGACATGCATACATATACCTACACAAACATTCTGTGATTATATTATGTATTTGCTTACTGTATTTAGTTAAGGACTGGGCCCCTCCATATTGCTTTGAACACTTGGGCCCACATAGTCCTTCTACTCTCAAATCTGTAGGTGGTGTCGTTGCCAGAAGTCCAGTGACCACGCTTGAGGAGCCAGGTTCCCTCACTTGCCTGCCATCTTTATGCTCCATTCTTTTTCTTAAGGTTTTTCTGTGTTTTTACCAAAAAAAAAAAAAAAAAAAAAGTTTGATTTGAGATTTCACCATGCTCCAAGTCAGAAAAATAATTCATATGTTTCAATACAGCCATTTTTTATTTTATTTCAGTCAGCTAAATCCTTTCTTCATGAATACCTTCTTTTGGAGGGGGACGTTTTCAGAGGACCACTGGACACACCGCTAGAGACACCTGGTGGCTAGTTCTTATAATAGTATTTCTTGAGTCCCCTTCAAATATAAAATTGGAAAAATTGCCCTTTTAAATTAAAAATTTTGCCTTTTGGTACACTGATACTTTTGTTTTGTCTGCAGTGCTGGGGATCAAACTCAGGACCTTGTGCTTTCGAGGGAGGGCTCAGTGCCACTGAGCTAAAGACCCGGCCATTGATACCTTTTTTTTGGCACTGGAATTGAACCCCGAGCCCACACACTCAGCTACATCCCCACACCTTTTTAAATTTTGAGACAAGGTCTCACTAAGTCACTAAGTTGCCCGGGCTAGACTTTAATTTGTAATACTCCTAGGGCTGGGGATTTAGCTCAGTGGTTCTGGCACCTGCCTCACAAGCACAAGGGCCTGAGTTCGATCCCTGGTACAAAAAAAAGAAAAAAAAAAGGAATGTAATACTCCTGCCTCAGCATCCCAGGCATCACCATGCCTAGTTCTATTTTAATTTTATTTTTTGTGGCTGTACTACGGATTAAACCCAGGGCCTTCACACAGAGCTGTGTCCCCCTTTTTTATTTCTTATTATGAGTCAGGCTCTCTCTCCAGCACTAAGTTACCCAGCGTGGGCTAAAACTTTGATCCCCCTGCTGCAGCCTCCTATAGTGCTAGGACTGCAGGCACGTGCTACTGCCTGGCACTGTTTTACATTTTTTTTTTAACTTCCTGTTCTGAAATGATTCCAGATTCAAAGGAAGCTGCTAAGAAACACACAGAGAAGTGCCCTTTTGCTTACATGCGCTCACGTGAATACACTAAACATCAAAATCGGGAAAGTGACAAATGGAGGAACCCACGGAGCTCCTGCAGATTTCACAATTCTACGTGCACCACTTCGAGGGCCAGGCTCACGGACGTGCCAGGGCAACCGTAGAAGATGCAGGACGTCACTGGAGGACAGAGTACATGCAGGACACCCTGTGACTGTCCCCAGGGTTCCCGCCACAGAGTGCAAGGAGCGGTCACCTGTGCATAGCGGAGATGGAGCTGACAAGTCGGGGAGGAAACAGCATATTGAGAGGCCTCTCGGGGGCTCCCGTTCATGGAGGGAAATCCCGGAGATCTGCAGGTAGTTTCCCCAGGTGTGCAGCTGAGGGATGCACACTTCTGGGTGTGTGTGCCCGGAAACAGCCTGAGTGTGGGAGGTAGGGAGGGGGCTCACCCAGGGGGACTCCAGGGACACACGACTCACACGGGGCCGGCACAGGGTTCTGTGCACACCGGCCGGAGAAAACCCCAATTCAAGGTGTACCCGGAAGAGTGATCGAATGGTTTCCCTTCAGCAGTGGCAAAGAGCTTTATACTAAATGATTCTCTGGTTCTACCTAATACCCTTTAAAGGAAGACGTGAGAGGATAGGCTGTTTCTGAGAAATTTAAGGGCATCCCAAACAAATCTCAAGGAGGGTTATAGGAATTGAACAGTATCAGGGGATTGAGCATGTAGCGCAGTGGGAGAAAACTTGCCTTGCTTACCGATTCCTCGTACGAACCGATGCTTGAGCCATTTATGGGATCAGGCCGGCCACCGCCTGTCTGAGCGTTTCCATCTCAAGCTGAGACAGCCTGGTTTCCTGCCCACGCGTACTCACCACTCACCACTCCCTGTATTTCTTCACTTGATCAACGCAGCGGGCAGAATTCCTCGGAGGTCCAGTTTCTGGGCTCCGTCTTCACATGTAAAAGGCCACTGGCATGGGGTTGTTGGCTGCTGAGATTTCTGTTTGGGTGGTGTGTGGCGAATCAGACTTTAGGAGCCTCGGAGGGACAAGGAGAAAGGGAAGCCCTTGTGGGAAGGACAATGTCAAGGTGTTGGATGACTCTGGCATGTTAGGGAATATGCAGGAAGTACAAGAAAATGGTTTGAGCCCGACATTAGTGCATGCCTGCAATTCCAGGAAGCAGAAGCAGGAGGATCACCACGAGTTTGATGTCAGCCTGGTCTGCATTAATGAATCATGTTCTTTTTGTGGTGCTGGCCATTGAACCCAGGGTCACACAGCTTAGGGCAATGCACTACCACTGAGCTACATTCCTAGGCATTTTCTCTTTTGTTTTTGCTGTCTTTGGGGAGATGGGAATCTCAGTAAGTGGCCCAGGCTGGCCCCAATCTCCCAGCTCAAGGGGACCCTCCCATCTCAGCCCTTGAAGAGCGGGGAACACAGGTGTGTGCTTCTGAGCCTGGCTCTGCTTCTAAAGATTCTGAATATAATCTGCTCTGGTCAGTCTAAAAATGAGCAAACAATACCTATCCTTGTAGCTGCCAAGTGTAAACCCCACCAATATTTCATTTTATTCACTATTTTTGAGGCACTGTGGTTTGAATGAAGTAGTGTCACAATGGACGACATCCCCGGGGGTTTTTTCAGGTTTTTTTTAGGCAGAGTCTTGCTAAGCTGCCCAGGCTGGGTTGCACTTGCAGGCCTTTCACCTCTGTCTCCCAGATCACTGGGATTATAGGAGTGCATCGCCATGCCTGGAGGCACAGTTATATTTTCTTACACTATCATTACATGCAGAAGCATTTTTCTCTGGCTGGGGATTTAGCTCAGTGGTTCCACTGCCTGCATCACAAATGCAAGGTCATTCATTGAGTTCAATCCCAGTACCCGCCCAAAATATATTTTTTTCTCTTTTAGTCCCATGTTCTCAGACACCTACAATGAAATTATTTGACAGTGAACAAATACCAGTCCTCCTTCACGTACCTGCTTAGATGATTTTCCAAGGAGCACAGAAAATGTGCAGAATCCCTGGTTGGGGCAGGCGATGGCCCTGAGTGTTGCTCCCCCAGGTCCCAGTGCCCACCGCTCAGCTGGGCTTAGACCAGAGGAACTGGGAATCTGTGCAGAGGTTTAGCCAGGGCCCAGGTGGTGCTGATGCTCAGGGAGGATGGGGAAATGCTGGGTTAAAGGGTGCGGTATAGGAGTGACTTCACTCAGCAGGAACATCTGCACCAGGGCCCAGCAGGTGAGGCCACTCACAAATGCAGTCAGGGAGCGCCAGATCGCTTATTTCCCGCTTACACCAATTTAAAAAATATAAGACACTCAAGTGAATAGCTGTGTGCATATTCCCCAATCTCTCCTCATTACAATGTTTTCAAAGACAATATATTAATTCAGACATTTACATTGGGTGAATTGGGGTAAAACCTAATCCTGCTGTGTGAAAAATCCCCCTTGTGAGAATGCAGGTTCCTTTCATTGACAAATCAAGAGTCTAATTCTTATAAATATCACCCAGAACGTTGCCGAATGCCATTTTCTCTAAGGACATTTCGTGTTCCAGGGTTTCTGCCTGTCCTTCAGGGAAAACTATATCTGACACTGGTTTATTAAAAAGCTGCCTGTGGTACCAGGTGAGGCAAACAATCATTTCTCTTATACATGTAGCAGCTTGCTTTGGGGGAGGCTAAAGTCATTTAAAAACACTTTCTAGGAAGTTCTTGGGAGAAATGCATATGTTTGTGTACATCTTATGTTACAATCTGCATTTCTTCAGGGACAGGACTGTACCTTCTTAGCCTTTAAATGTTTTTCTGTCAGTTGCTGCATTTTTCTTCTGAGGTTCCCCCTGACCCCCACCCCGCACAAGGAATGAAACTCAGGTCCTGGTGCTTGCAAGGTGGACAGCAGAACCACTGAGCTAAATCCCTGGCCCTTTCCTCTGAATTAGTAAAAGTATTTTACACTTTGAGGATTTTACCCTTTTTATTTTTATTCATTAAAAGATGACAGTCATCCTGACTTAATAACATCTTGTCTCCTACAATGATTTTCCCTGTCTCAGGGTTTCACACCTGGATACCGACTTAAAATTTGATTCTCTTGTGATTAAGGTTCCAGCTATTAACTGTGGTGTCCAAAATAATTGTGGTTATGACCATGCATTGATCATGTGAGCTCTGTTGCGTATCCTGTATGTCATGGGTGTGGGTGAGTTTGTGTAACTGAGGGATTGAACCCAGGGCCTTTGCACTCAGCTACATTCACAGCTCTTTTATTTTGACAGAGTCTCGCTAAATCGCTAAACCCCTAAACCCTAGGCTGGACTCCAACTTGTGATCCTCCTGCCTCCCAGAGACTGAATTCCAGGCCTGTGCAAAGGACCAGGTAAGAACACTGTACACTTTGGTCCAATCTGGCATTTCATGATTTGCAGCTGTGGGAAACGCTAGGCGGTCTCTTTGTGCTTACTTCCCTGAGTGTCCCTGCCCCGCGGCGGGGCCAGGATGCAGCCTCCCTTTCTGTCCCTTTCCCCTTGCGGTGCTGGGAGGAGCCCGAGCCTCCTGTCCACCAGCGAAGCCCCTGCCCTGAGCCCCAGCCTCGGCCCACAGCCTGCGTTTGCTCCTCTGCGTCTTTGTCACAGACTCAAACCCAGGACCCTCAGGTCCACAGACTAAAGAGGAAGGAGGCTCGGCTCGGCGTGGCTTGGTTCTGCTCACAATCACGGGCTGGGTGTCACAGTGCCGCGTGGCTGTGTTATTTCTGCCGAGCTGGAAAAGGCCTGAGTTCTGGGAGTGGAGCTGAGGAAGCACAGGAAGCGGAGCCAGAGCACAGGCCAGCAGGACTGTGTGGCAGCCGCAGGAGCCCTCTGTCAGCACAGCCCCAGGGGCAGTGGGGCCCCCTTCCCCAAGTGACCAGGGAGGGACAGTCACCAACTGAGTTTCAGAACCTGCCACAGAGCCCTCTTGTACAGGACAGCAATACTCACAAGGGAAACAAGTGCAAGAGTCACACAGGACAGGAACGAGCATAACAGATCTGCAAATTTCTGGAAATGGAGCCCAGTGTGGTGATCCATGCCAGTAAAGCAGCATTCTGGGATGCTGAGGCAGGAGGATCTCAAATTCGAGTTCCATTTGGGCATCTTAGCAACTGTGAGACCCTGTCTAAAATAAAAAACATTAAAAATTTAGGAAGGGGCCAATACCCACCCTGAATCACATCAAGATATGTGAACAGACATAGTGGTTCTTGTCAGCAATTAGAGCACTCCGGGATACTGAGGCCAATTTAGTAAGACCTTATCTTGTGGTTTGTTTTGTTTGTTTTTTGTTTTTGTTTCTTGAGACTAGTTCTTGCTATGTAGTTTAGACTGACCTTGAACTCACTGTGTAGCCAGGCTGGCCTTTAACTCACAATGATCTTCTTGTCTCTCTGCCTTCCAAGTCCTGATATTATAAGTGTATGCCACTGTACCTGGCTGTGAGACCCTGTTGTAAAGCAAAAGTAAACTAAACAGAAATTTGGATGTAGCTCAGTGCAAAGGTGCTAGATTCAATCCCCAATACAACAAAAATAGAGGAAAAAAACAGAAAAAGAAACACACTCCTGTGTTAAAACCCCATGAAGGGCCGGGCATGGTGGCACACGCCTGTAATCCCAGCACTCAGGAGACTGAGGCAGGAGGATTGTTGTGAGTTCGAGACCAGCCTGGGCTACATAGTGAGTTCCAGGTCAGTCTCAACTACATAGTGAGACCTTGTCTCAAAAAAAAAAAAAAAAAAAAGAAGATTTGAGTTGTTTAGGTGTACAATTTACAGCTGCTATTTTTTGGGGGTGAGGGTACCTGGGATCGAACTCGGGTCCTTGTACTTGGGAGGCAGGTGGCAGAACCACTGAGCTAAATCCTGGCCCCTAAGTCATGTTTTTAATCTTTTACTTTGAATTTCTAGACTTGTGTGTAAAGTATAGAATTTGACTATCAGCTAATAACGATGCTTTAGGAGGCAGCAGAAGCTATTTTTGTAATAACTGGGAGGTTGAAGCCAGGGTCTTCACCCTCTGAGCCACCAGCACTATTTTATGGTATTTATTTTATTTTTATTTATTAATTTATTTTTCCCATTAAATTTATTGGTACATTTAAGGCAAACAATACAATTATATTTATCACTGGGATCTTGTACCTTTACAGATCTTGGTTCTTAGGTTTTCTCCATCCCCCTAGCCTCGCTTTATCCCCTTCATCCAATTAATTTATTTATTCTGAGACAAGTTATATCTGTGTTTCCCAGGCTGATTTTGAACCTAACATTCTCTAGCCAGAGCCTCCTAAAGTGCTAAAATTACACAAGTGCCCTGAGAAATATTTCCTTAGAAATATTCTTTCTGGATGTCCTGGGTTGGCCTCCTATAATTTTGATTTTTCTGGTATCAGGGATTGAACTCAGGACCTTGTTCTTACAAAGCAGGCAGTGGCACCACTGAACTAAACCCCCGACCCCGCCCTTTTTTTGAGACAGGGTCTCACCATGTAGTTGAGACTGACCTGGAACTCACTATGTAGCCCAGGCTGGTCTCGAACTCACAGCAATCCTCCTGCCTCAGCCTCCAGAGTGCTGGGATTACAGGCGTGCGCCACCACGCCCGGCTATAATTTTTGTACAGGAGTGTGTGTGTGTGTGTGTGTGTGTGTGTGTGATGCTGAGACAAGTGCTTTCCAGTTCAGTTATACCCCAAACCTGTAAAGATGCATTTTGGTTTTCTTGGTACTGAGTATTGAACTCGGGCCCTTGCACTTGAGAGGCAGGTGGCGAAATCACAGAGCTAAATCCCCGGCCCTAAAGATGCGTTTTGTATCATTAAGAGCTACAGTGCCACCAGGCCATGGGAGATAACTGGGGAGGCTGAGGCAGGTGGGTCTGGTACTTAAGGGAAGCCTAAGCAACTCAGAGAGAACCTTCTCAAAATAGGAAGGGCTGAAGATGTTGCTCAGGTTCATTGAGTTCGTCCCCAGGATGTGTAGGTGGGGCTACAGTGACCCATTCCGGCTTTGATCTCCTAGGAGGGGAGCATTAGTGTCTCCTAAAAAAGCCACCTTTAGGATAGTGGAGAGGGTGAAGTTCTGACTGATCACTCACCGTGGGTGCAAGTTCGCTGCCGGGTGAAAGCCTTCTGCTTAACCTCTTGGTGTTTCTGACCCGTCACCGTTTTTCCTTCTTCTTCTTCTTCCTTTAAGTTCTGCAGCAAAATACCACAATGTTCCGAGATTTGCTGGAACGCCCAGGGATCGGCCCGCTGACAAGGATGTGTAAGAAGTGTAGAACCTACGAGTGCTTCCTTCTTTCCTTGTTGGGATTCGTGGCTGTGATTCTGGGAACCGTCCTCATCGCGCAGGCCCACTTGCGCCCCACGGCGTTCACCGTGGGAATCGTACTGATAGCGGTGAGCGTGTTCATAGTCACCCTGGCCACTTCACTGGCGTGGTGCAGAGCCGAAGAGACGTCGGAGAGAAGCCTGAACGTGAGGCTGCAGGGACGGACTGACTGGGACAGTGCTCTGCAGGAGTCTGTGGAGACAGCCAGCACCACCCTGTGACACTGTGGAGCACTCGATATCGGGACCCTGTTGGCAGTTGAAGCATTTAAGGATTGTTTTTAAGTACTAATAAAATTTACCTTTTAAAAGTTTACTTTCTGACTTTTTTTTTTTCCTGAGGGTCTCGCTATGTAGTTGAGACTGCACTGGTACTCACTGTGTAGCCCAGGCTGGTCTGGAACTCCCAGCGACCCTCCTGCCTCAGCCTCCTGAGTGCTGGGATTACAGGTGTGCACCACCACGCCCAGCTTCTGACTTTTTTTCCTAATAGCTCTTGGTAACTGAACACAAAGAAAGCAGAGCTGATCTCCAAACTTTTTTTTAAATTTATTTTAAGATCAGTTCTCCTTATGTAGCCCCAGGCTGGACAAAGATTTGCAATTCTTCAGCCTCAGTCTGTCAAGGAACTGGGATTGTAGGCCTAGAACACTCTGACCCTGGTTGTTTGTTTGTTTGTTTTGTTTTTAATTTTTTTTCTTTTTCAATACTGTGTATTGAACCAGCTGCATTTTGACTGAGATATATCTTTTAGGCTACTATTTATTTATTTAAGGAAGGGACTTGCTCCATTGCTACCAATTTGAAATCTTCTAGTTTCAATCCCTGAGAGTTGGAATTACACATGCACACCAACTCGCACAACTCTTGTGTCTAGCACTGGAGATTTTCTCCCTTCATCTTTACAGCACAAGATACGTTACACACAGGTACCTACGCCATCTGTGAAATTTCACTGTCAAGGCGATGTAGGTGCTCCACAGTTGCTGAGTAGACCACAGGTTGCTAGTGGCAACTTGGGGTGACTCTAGTGATCCATTAACCTCAGCATTCAGGTAGCAGTGCACCTGCATGTGAGCACCAGTCCAGATGTCCTTCATTTGGGATCCTCAAGTCCCTTGGACTCAGAGGTGCCGGGTGGGGGCTGTGTCCCCAGTGCGGATCCCTGAACACCAAGGGCCGGGACAACTGGGCACAGGAGCTTTGCCAAGCCGAGTGTTTTGATGGAAATTTCCCAGCCAGCAAGTCAAGGAGCCCGGGAGGTTTGGTCCATCCCCATGCCCTGCTGAGGAGGTCCCAGCATTTCTGATCTCCTAAGCGTCCTGGCCATTCTGTGCCTTCTCCCAGCAGTGTGTGCTCTGAGCGGGAAAGCACCGAGGTGAGGGCCTCACCCAGGTTTGTAGCTGACAGTGGACACAGTGTGGCATCTTCCCAAGGCCGTGAGGGGACTGTAACAGGAGGGACAGAGTTGGGGTGGTTGCAGTTTCCAGTGTGGCAGCTCCCAGGTGGGCGGGCGAGGGTGACCTCAGTGGCTCCCGACCACCTGGTCACAAGGGTCAGGCCCGAGGGGTTGGCAGCCCAGTGGGCGGCAGCGGCTTCTCAGAGCTCCTCTTCCTGGTGACTCGTGTCCTTCAGGGGAAGGCACTGGATGGGGTAGAATGGCCTCTAGAAGTCTGTGGACGGGGCAGAGCATGCGTGGTGTGGAGGGAGGAGCGCCTTGGGAGCGGTCATGGTCACCGTCTGTATCCCAGGTCCTCAGGACACGGCCTGGAGGTGGTGGTGGTGGAGGATGAGACCCCAGGACATCAGGTGAGGGGGCCGGGGACACAGGAGGTCTGAGAAGGTGACCATGAGGAGGAAGGGCGACAGGACAAGGGTGGAGGGACTCGGGAAGGCAGAGATGGTGTAAGAAGAGCCTGGAGGTGGGACAAGGATGAACTGGGGCAGTGCAGCATGAGGGCGACCAGGTTTCCCTGTGGATTGGCCTCTCTATTCCCAAATGGCCAACACAGGCTGGCCAGGGGTCGAGTGAATCCCACCAACGTTTCTGAGACACGTTCTCTGGCACTGAACTCAGAAATCCCAAACATGTCCTGGCTCTAACTTTGATCTTGCCACCCTTTTCCTGTTTGGACAGAAGCAGAGCTGAGAGGCTGGGGTCACCTCCTGGGCCTGAGTCATCCCCCACCCCCAGCTCCTGCTCTTCCTGGACAGGGGACTGGGGCAGGAAGCAGGGTGCTGACCCAGGTACTCGATCAGAGGGACCCCTCAGGTCTTCCTGCCGTTCCATTGGCAACCCTGAGGACAGAGCTCCCCTCTTGGGACCAGAGCCCTGAAGCCACAGCCTGTCACTACCCACAGTCTGAGGCAGGAGAGCCAGCCTGGGTGTGATGCCTCTGCCTCTGGAATTGAGCCCTTGATCATCTAAACCCAGCCCCTCCTCCCCACAACAGAAAGATCCCTTACTGTGGGCCCCTCCTAAGCCCTCCTTACTTTTTTTTTTTTTAATACCAGGGGATGGAACTCAGGATTTCGTGTTAGTGAGGCAGGCGGTGACGCCACTGAGCTAAATCACTGGATCCCCTCCTCCCATTCTTAACCTGTGCTCCCCTCCATCTCGTCCACCTCTCTCTTCCCCACAAACTCCTCTTCCTCCCTGGGTGCCTTCTGGGCCCTGAAGTCCTCCCCTGGGGCCTGGAGCCTTAGACTTGGAGGAGGTTGACAAGGCGCCATGAGTGCTTGCGAAATCCTTCTTCCTCCTCCGAGCTCAGACTGTGATCTGTCTGAGGACCACTGTGCCCGGGCTGGTCATATGTGTGCAGTGTGCCTGACTCAGGACCCCCGGGTGATGAGATTCCAGCTCGGGGGCTCCGTGCCAAGTGGCTTTGAACTCTGTGGAAGGGTTGGCGTGTTTGGCACTCAGGACAAACATGTGGAAGTAACAGCGAATTCACCCAACTGTGAGTGTAAGTGATGTCCTGTCCCCGAACCGCCGCTGCTGGTGTGGCACCTTGTTGGACAAAGTGTCCCATGGGGTATAGGACATTTGCTGTGTGTGCGAGTGCTCACCCTGCCCTATTAGACACCGGCAGCCCGGTCACGGATTCCCACTCCTGTCCCAAAAGGTTTCTACCTTCATCTCTGCACATTCTCGGCTTCCCCTGTCTCTCCCTCCTTTACACCCTCAGACTTTTCAGCTCATCCCACACTTGCTTCCTTCACGGCCCTGACCACACTTCCTGCTCTAATGCTATTCCCGCCTCAGCTGCCTGCTGCCCTTTACAATCTTACTTCCCTCTGGCTCTGGGGCTCTCCCATCTCCCCAGATGCTTCTTCCCTGCAGCCGTTTGCCCCCCACACCCTTCGCCGTCTGCTCTCCACCACGACCAGTTCACAGCTTTCCCACCCTGGACCTTTACCTCTGGCTTCCCAACTGCTCTTTTCTCCTGCTGTATTCTTTTCCAATATGATGGCAGCTTGCAACTTGTACTAAGGGAAATATTGGAGAACTGTACTTCGAAGCTCATTTTTACACAGGGTCAACAGTACAAGGGGTAAACCAGAGGACAGATTAGAGTCCCACGCCACCCCCAGGAGCTGCCTCAGGCCTGTAGGGGGAGGCAAAGGACTGACAGAGCCAGGGAGAATGGGATCCTCTGGACCTGCAGGGGAAGAGATAGGCCGGCTGAAGCAGGCGATGGCCATGGCCAAGTGGTGCTCATAGAGAGGACGCCAGTCAGAGAGCAGGCGCACTGGACGATGGCGGCTGACTGTACAGACTGGGGTTCAGGGCTCCAGGTGGAGGAGGAACCCCTGACCTTGGCTGACCTGCATATCAGGGAAAGGAGAGAGGCAGGATGTTGGTGTCAAGTCAGAGTAGTCAAGGCCGGGGGGCCATGGGGTCCAGGATGGTAGCTCCAGGGGCTGTGTGAGGCACTCAGATCAGAAGGGGCCCTGCCGCTGGACCACAGTATATCCCTGGGAGCTGAGAGGACAGGAGCAGGGGTGCAGGTAGCCACAGCCATGGAGGCCAAATCCAGGGAACGTGGTGGCCTGGGCTCAGTCCCCAGTGCATGGTGCCTCTCTAACCTCCAGGACCAGCCTGGCCCCGAAGGGAGAAAGATCCGAGTCTCAGGAGCCTGGAGGGTGGGAGGGTGAGGTAGGAGCTCATGGCAGGGCGGAAAGGAAGACTGTGGAGTTGGAACCCAGCTCTCCTCTGTCTCTACCATGGCCACAGCCCCGCTCAAGGGAGAAGGACTTCACCTCTTCAGGTGACCTCATGTTTTATCTCAGGACAGGAATCTTGAGAACAGGTTTCTCTGTGAAGAGAGCTCAGGGTTAGGTTGTGAGGTTGTCAGGATTTCCTTGGGAGCGAGAACGGAAAGGAGAATGCTCCTGCTTGAGAGGAGGGGCCCAGGTCAGCTGGACAGGAAGCGGAGGACAACACCAAGCAGGGGACAGGGGCTCGGTCCTGCGATTCCTGGAGGGCAACTGCATGCGGGCCTGGGTAGCAGCAGCTGTGTGCCCGATGAGCACCTCGGACCAGACCATTCTGGCCTCTCAGGTCACACGAGCGCACTGCTTTGTGTCTGTCAGAAGGCATCCAGGGCACTTTGTCTTCTCGGGGCTACACCCGGTGTGAGCCTGAACCTGTCGCCCCTCTGGTGTTGACACCGTTTCCATTCAGGAAAGGCAGTGATTGCTCTGTGTCAGCGAAAGAGCTGGAAGCGAGCTTCGTGAGGCACAGAGGAGACATGTTTGAGAGACTGTGTTGGCTCGGTCAGCCATGCGTCCTGGGGAGGGCTGGCTCCAGAGTTCTGCAAGCACGGAGGGCTCCGCAATCACAGCTTAAGCCCTTCCGTGGGAGAAGGAAGTGGCCGGAAGTCTCTCATGTCTCCTCACCCTGCAGCCTGGAGAAGGCCTCGTGGTGCTCAGGCCTTCATCTTCCTGAGCCCGTGGCCTCAGCACCAGCCTCAGGGCACAGCTGCACCCACAGCTCCTGAGGCTTCCCCTTCTGGGATCCTGACTCACACCTTCCTGCACCTGTGGTGAGGGGAGCCATGAGGGAGCCTGGTGTCTGGGAGCTGGGCTCAGGGAAAGAATCCAGGCCCTCCTTGCTCAGGGTCCTGCTCGGACTCCCATGTCCACCCCCCACCCCTTGTGTCCAGAGGACCCAGGCGGGAGGTGGGGCCTTCCCCTCAGGGCTGAGTCAGAGCCCTGCTGATCCTCCTCCTGCACCTCT